GTATTTTTTTACAATAAGAAAAAAATGTTTAAAGAAGTGCAAACCACCGACGGCCGCTATTTTTTTACCCATGATAAGTGTACAATGTTGTTTTCTTAGATAAAAAAAACAATATCCGCCAAGTCACATTAGTGTGATTATTCACGCAACTTCGCGACAGTTGAATTGCATAATTTAAGAGGGGACATAGCTATTTGTCTTACAGACATTTTGACAAAGACGGTATTTAATAGGCATAGTCCTTAGATTAAACATACTATACTATATATTATAATTATCTATGTGTTAAATCATTACAGACTAAGTTGTATGCAAATTGAATTATTATTCTACCAAAGGCCGATATTTTTTCCGGACGATGTTAAATGTATGTAATGAATCATTTTGGAAAATACATGTTTCTTGATGCATGTTTTACAGTAAAATACAAATGTGGTACAATACGCACTATTGAGCATAACAAACAAAAGTGTATCTGTACCTTCATTAATATTTTTTTTTTCATACAAAAAACCTATTAGTTATTATTGGGGCTTCACTGTTAAATAAATTATCGCATGGATTAAAAAATAAGACTTTTTATGGGTACAAAAAATTATGGTTTTATTTTATTTATATATATATATATACTTGAACTGCTCGTTCAATTTTTTACGAGCCAATTGCCATTTGGCGAGTGAGTACATTATACCGTTACTATACACAATAATTATTATGGTTGTCACTAGTCGTTAATGTTACCATTGACCTAGAAATCTAGATAACACCCACCCACGCATCGCAATATCAAAGCACGAACAATATAAAGCAACACATTTCCAATCGGCTAAATAAATTTTTCACTAGTGATTTTGACATATAAGTGTTTATACACCTCTTGATAAATTGGTATAGACAAAAGAAAATCACAGACTAATATATTCTACATGTATAATACGTTTGTATACATTCTTAGATCATTGAACTGCACACAAAAAATCTGCAATAAAATCTTATTTATTATTTTTGTTTATAAAATCTTGCGCTGTTGTTGTTATTATTGTTAAACGACACAATGCAAATATTAAATAGAACTGTTGCTTGTTGCTGAGCGCAATTTTTTTATTTTATTTTATAATATTTCATTAGTGGAATTAGCTGCTATAGTTGTTCACGGTAAGAGACCAAAACATTTCTCGTGAAAACACAAATAATTTTAATCGGATGCAACATTAAACTATACCATAAATCAAAATACTTTAAACCAAGATTCGATGCTATCTTCGTGGGAGCATCGCCAACACGACGAGGCAGTGCCATCGTGACCTAAAGCAACAGTGGGAGGGAAACGACCGTCGTGAGAGAGTGAAGTCTAAGAAGAAGAAGAAGAAGAAAAATAAGTATACACGTCATAACCAAGAGTCGGGGACCCCCATTGTATAGTTGTGAGTGCTAGTCGTCCTGATACAATGTAATGGCGTTCAATATAATAACGATTTCAATAATTGTAAGCGATAAAGGTTTTTTGAACACATTTTTGTTGTCGTTTAAAACTATCAAAAAAAATAAATGTACAACGACATAATATTTTTAAAACGCAACAAGTTATACGAAAACAAAAGTTTTTAAATTTAAAAAACCATAACTATCAAGGCGGAGGAAACATTTTACACGGTTGTCCTACACATTATAATATAAACACCGGCATTGAAGCTCTTGGAATAAAAAAATTACCGACAATGAGCTGATATGCCTAGTACCCTTGACTAATGCGAGGCTAACCCTGGGGGTGAGGGGAAGGGGGGGGGGGTAAGCTAAGAGTTTAATTTACAATAACACGTCTAGTTTCCTCTATCTAATTCGGACGAGTAGGTACCAACCAAGTCCTACGCACGTTTTTTAACTACCCATTAAAAAAAAACTTAATTGTTCGATGGTAATATAATTGTGTACGGCGATTGGTCGTCGCTTGCTTGGGAAACGTTTTGATTTAGTAGGGACTGTATAAGACTTGCAGAGATGACCGATCGCCGGAGGCCCGTAGAATAACCACGAAGGCGTGGGAACAGAACAATCATCGAGTAATGCTGACCAGCTAATACACAAAGATAGGAGTCATCAGGATAGTGGTGTAGATAACAGTATATATGTACACACTTAACTATATATTTTCAAAGACAGTGATTAAAATATATTATTGTGTTTTCAATACAACTTGAATGCATGGGCCGCAAGAAGCAAGCGACAAGGGTACAATGTACATCATAAAAATCACCCAGCTAAGACATAAATGTATGTACCTACCTAATCAGTAATATATTCTATTCTAAATATTGTAGTCAATTATGTAGTAGAAACAGAAGAACAACCAGTCTTTATTACAAATTTCTACTTGGTCGAGTGTTTCGGTGACAGCATTGATTTAATTATAATATTTTAATACTCGCATTTGCATATTTTGTGTTTAATTCTTTACCAATATTTATAGAGTTTGTGTTATGAGAAACAAATACTATGTATTTTTTAACTTTAATAAAAAATGAATAAGTTTTTAATAGCGTTTTATCCGAAACAAGGGAGTAGGTATACTGTTTTATTTAAATTTTTATAATTCTTAATAATAATTGTTGTTCCAAACCGAGGGTAACGTTTATGTAAATGTATTTAATTTTCGTTTAGTGCAACAATTCAGTGTTTGTGAATGTATAATGTATTTCAATGGCGTTTAGCATAATTCTGTTGATCTCTATTTGAAAATAGCACAACAATAATGCATATATGGAGAGAAAAAAGGAATATTTTGACTGAAGCTCCGGTTAGAAAATCAAAGCGAAACTGCAAATTTGAGTACAATAATAATGTGACACTATAGCTCTCGGAGACTCGGACTTAAGATTAAATGACCCGATGATAATAATAACTCGAATGTTATATTTTACTAGAACAAATACATTAAAAACAATTGCCACAGAACACAATTTGAAGTATTTCAAGTACTATTGTTTGAACTTTGAAAATTCAAGGTCGAGGGCGTCGTTGAATCTAATGTATTATATAATTATAACTGTTACAATCAACGGAGATTCGATGCTGGGAACAAAACGGAATGAAATGATAGGGCTTCTTGTAGTTATACGCCATACATCATGCCTACACACTATACACAGCCAATGTAATGGAATACTACACACACATACACAATGTACAGGATACATTAATGTTTATTGTAAATTTCACGTTATTAATTATTATTTTTAAGCCATATAAAAGGGCATTCTAGGGTTACAGTACAATTATTATTATTCGTTTGTAATATCTCCATTATAATGAATTAATTTCTTCGATGAAAACATTTTCATATGAATGAGTTAGGTACAGAGTTTTTATTTTTTTTTTATCCGGCAATGAACTTTATTATTTTTATACACACACAAATGGAATACCTTTAATGGTAATTATTTTAATTCGTCGGTATGGGAATCAATTTGTCGAATGTCAATGAAAGGTAGGTTTTAAAATTCGCATGGTCTATTTTACACAGGACACATCATTCAACCCAATATAATACCTATATATATATATATATATATATAGGTAGGTATATAGTGACAAGTATAACGGGGCAATTGTAACTGACGTGGGTCTACGGATATCTTCATTGTTTTTTTTTCCCTCATTTAATTCCGTCACATTCACGAATCAGCTTTCCATAGAGACATACTACCGAATTCACAAAAAAAAAAATGACCATCCATTAAACTACTATTGTGTGTGTGTGTGTATATACTATATATACATATATATATATTGAAACCTATTAGGACTGGGTAATTATTTTCAACGATTAGTTTATAATTACACGAATCGAAGATAGCCGGTGTACAAAAGAAAATTAAAAAAATTAAACTCTGATAATAGCGTGTCATAAAATGTGATGTTGTTATCGAGCCATTATTTTTTTTGTATTTATTCTCAAGTTTACAATCGCAATGTCTATACCCAACCACAAATATACAATAATAATATTATGCATTTTATTGTATACTACAACAACAACACCAACCAAACCGTTTAGTTTTAAACGGAGAAGTTTATTTTGTTTAGTCAAATTGAACTTTAAGTCAGGTAGACCTAACTTACTTAATAATATATACCTATGTTCTCGGTTTTCGTTTTCCGGTAAAACAAGCAAAACCCGGCTACGGTTCCGGGAAGAAAATATTATGTTGAATACCTAACATACATAGGATAACAACAGCTTGTTTCTTGAGTAAACAACGGATAATAGAACACTTTAAAATAATAATTCCGAAGGCTATTAACAAATGCTATTTAAATTTTAAGCTGTCGTTAATTATAATAATTATTATCTATCTTCTAAACCGAATTTGGTTTTTGATAGAAAATCCCATCAAATAAAAAAATAGAAACAACGGGTTCATGCCTAACATGAACCCTGTAACATTTGGTGTTCGAAATTAATTACAAACACAATGACGTCATAATCAACTCATACATAGGTTTGCGACATAATTGAAAACGAATGGTTTTTTTTTTATAAATTTCCTAATATTTTATTTTAATCGTTAATAGTTTTCACGGATATGTTAATATATTAAATGGTTGATAGTGTACGCACCTAAAGGTACGCCCTAAAGATAAATTTCATATCGGTGACAAATCCGGTAGTTGTGCAATACCAGGTCTCGGCCTGTACCGGCGTAAAGCGACTAAATTCCTATTTTGTAAAAAACGTGACTGGACAGAGTTTGCAGTTATTCAAAAATACCTAGAAACCACTAGTGTCATTTTTTTTACATATTCAGAGTATGTGAACGGTCGACCGGTTCTTTTCTTTGTTTTGTTGTTTGTTCGACGGATCACAACAAAACAGGTGCGCAACGCGACAAGTAGGTATAATATACATTACTCTTGTTATCGAGCAACGACAGGATAGTGTCGCATATATTATTATTTACAATCGGTTTGGCGCCCTTTTTCTCATGTAAGTGTACACGTACCTGATAGTAAGACGACGGAGCCCAACAGCAACAGCCGCAAGGTGGTCATGGGCGCGCGGGTTTCCTTCATTTTCGACATGCTTTTGCCGAGACTTTTGCCGGCGGACGAGATAAGCTCGTTTCGGTTGACGGAAAACAAAATACCAAGAAAACCGGTAGATAAGAAATAACAATTTTTAAAAAACCCCTTGTCTTTCGACGACGGCCTCGTCGGCGGCGGCGGGTCTTTGGACCTTTGTGGAGTTTTTTTTTTAGGCAAGTACTATTTTACCGTGCAAGTGTGTGTGTGTTAAAATAAAAAAAAAAAAACAAATAAAACTATACACGTGAACGACAAAAGACTCGAACGACGACCAAGAAACAACGACGACGAAGACACGACACGACGACGACGACGGCCGACGAACACGAGACGATGACGGACGACGCGAACGTTGCCGGCACGGCGCGGTCGGAATGCAGGTGCCCTTCGCGTTCGGTCGCGGTCGGCTATCGTCGGCTCGTATCGTATCGTCGCGCTCGGCGCGCGTTACCGCAACCGCGACTCTTCCCGCGCACCATCAGCTCGACTTTTATTCCCGTGTACGTACCTGCAACCGGTTTCCGATACGGTCGCCGAGGTAAACGGGGTTATACCACCTATACACCTGTTTTACTATGTTGTTGTGTGTCGTTGAATATATTATTATTATTATCGTGTCGTATCGTACTGTGTGAGTGCAATCTGCATGCGTTTGTACATTGCACGGCGCTGTGGCGGACGCGGGACGGCCATTAGCCGCGGTGGACGCGGTTCGACGTGACCGGGTTCGATGTACCGCGTTCAATTCAATTTGGTGGAACCGTCGGACCGCGTCGCTGCCCAACGCTGCTTCTGCTGCTGCTACAAATACCTATATATTATATGAAACGCTTTTCTGGAGTACCGCACATGACATTATATTATAATATTAAGACACACACAATTATCACCGATTTCTTATTGATGGTCACTGGCTGCTGTGACCGGTGAAGATCGCCGACTTATAGGATACGTGCCGCCGCCGGCCTTGTGACAAGTGGTCGTGAATGAATAAGGAAAAAAACGGTTATTTTTTTTTTTTAATGAAAGACAAAGACGACAACGGAAAACCATTGTCCTTGGCCAAAACGTTATCTTGTACGCCGTCGAACGACTAAACCCGTTGCCCTGCAATGTCTACACATCCGTCTTATAATTTATTTATTTTTTTAAATTGGAACATTTTCATACAATGCTTTACAATTATTATTATAATAATATAATATGCGTTTAATCTATAGAATAGCTCGATAATTATCCGGTTATATTGTAACGTAATAACGCTACGGCTAATATTATAATAATAATTGTTTAAACTCTGTTCTTATTCTGAACAGAGTATAGGTGTTTATGGAAACTAGATAGATAGGGGGGGGGGTGGAACTAAGTAGTGTCAGTACTGTAGTGGTTGAAAATTTGCAAAAGTGGTCCGTGCCTTGAACTGAGTTGGGAACCACTGGCTTAAGGGGAACGGAAAGGGTTATTTATTAAGGGGCAAAGGATAGGCAATTTTCGATAAAAATGTATCCAGCAGCCGTATTAAACATGCCGGGTCATCTTAAGATGAATAAAATATTGAGATTTTCTAGTTGTATAACTTTTAAAAGTTAACAATTATAAGGGGTCACCTAAATTGAATGTATTTTTTCTAAGAAAATAAAATTATATAATAAACATTTTGCATATCTGCTATAATTGGTTCTGGAGGGTAAATTATAACCGTACATAGTAATTTTATGCATTTTTCCTTTTAGCTTAGCATTTCACTTAATTAATATTGCATTTTTAGCTTTGACGTGGATTTGTATAGGTATTTTTTTTTACAATTTTGTGTTTTGTGTTTTATTTAAGTGGACCCTAACTGGACCGATTTCTTCATGTAGCAACTCTGCAGATCAGAAATCAAAGGAAGAAGAAAGGGCAAAAAAGTTTTTTTATTTCTTTTTTCCAGCAAACTCTTAAGACCTAAGGCCTGAAAATTAGACTTATCTAGTGCGAGATTATAACATGTACACATTTCTCAAAACCCTGTAGTCACTTATTTTTTTTAATTATGAAAAATCAAAATGAAGGGGAAAATTACACTGGCCGTAGTAAATTCAACTAGGTTCAACGCAGTCAACAGGTGCACGGGCTACAACGGCAAAAAATTATTTTAGACTGTCGACCAACCCTAATATAGTATCCACACTAATACTAAAAGTACAATTCCAAAGGCATTATTGACAATGCTTGAATGTCTACAGATAGATAAGTGTTTTTATCACTTTCAGCTGTAATAATTTCTGTGGATCTATGACCTCCCCCCACATCACTGTACTGGCTTTTTTCCTACTCAATTTAGTCAAGTATGAAATAATTACAATGTCGGAATTTAGTAAAATTAGTAGTTTTTAGGCCAGAAAGGGCTTCAGATATAATATAGTGTAGGTAATTACATGACAGAGTTTACAAAAATCATTAACTTCGCAACTTTTTCGTTACTTTCTTTCTCGCCATTAGTGACTTGGTAATTTACGAGTTTTTTCACTAGTAGTAAGTGTAGTGCGTATGAGGAGTGTGCATTAATAAAAATAATATTCCACACTACCTTTCTTCCCGCTTGAACTTTAAAAAGCTTTTACGTTGGAAAAAATTATAATAATAATTTAAAACTAAACACGAGCCAGTCAACATTTTCGGTAGAACGTTCTTATAAATTTCTTAAACGTAAGGTATAGTTTGAGAATTTTTTTTTTAAAATTACAACTATTGTTGATACAAGAACACGGCCAGAACAAGACATATGCCGAATCATGTGTGTAAATGGCGCCAACAGCAATATTAGCCAACTAATATTTCTGGATTTAGTGGTCATTCGTCAATATGTTATATGCAGCAACTGTTTTTTATGTAATAAAATTGCTATGTAAAAATAAATGAAATTGTTACAATAAAATTATAAAGACATAAAAATAAGCTGTCTAAATATAACGTGTCGTTTTTGGCTTATAAACGATTCAATTAGTTTCAATCGTGTGTATTATTATTATTTCATATTGTGCACTTTAAATTGTACAAATTTAAACACTTGTGTATCAACTCTTTTGTATACTTACTAAATTGCATTTTTTTTAACGCCTGACACAAAATCACCTCCCAAAGAGAATTCTAAATTTAGATAACCTTTGTTTGTTTTCTTTCGGAGAAGCTGATATTTGTTGTTCGGGCATCACTTACAAGTGTTAGGTATTTTTTATTTTTAGAATGAAATAATAAGCCGATATCGTATTGACGGGTATATATTTTATTTATTGTTGTGAATGTACCCTGCAACTAGAAGGGTAGGAAGTACAAGTCCTTTTAAACTCGTTAAGGCTCTTCTTCTTCTTCTCTACTAAAGGCCTTGCCTTGTCGTTGCAAATCTGGTTCTCCTCATTGTTATGTTTAACCTCTCGTTATGTTAAGGCTCTCACGTCCTAAATTTTAAACTTAAATAACTTTGAAAATAATTATCCAAAACTGGTTATCCATCAGTCAAAATGTTCAGCAAATTATTTTTAATTAAGTTAATCAAATATATATGTTATCGTTTTAAAAACTCAAGTTCAAACGGTTTTAACATGTAAGGGATGAGGTTTTATTAACTATATTAAATTTGTCCCAGCTAATAACTATTAAATTATAAAAAATAATTAATAAAAAAATGTCTAACATCTGCCAAGTTATCGACTGAGCCATAGTTAACGAATCGCCCGGCACTGTACAGAGTATTGGGTGAAACTTTTTGACAAAACACATACAATGCATTTTTTTCATAATATACTTCCATAATTCTTGTTATACATTACTTATCAATGTGCGTTATCTAAAAAATGGGAGGTTGCAAATGAGTTTTCGGGGGGAAATAACGCCACGGCGGGCGATTTCATCGTGACCGTGCAATATTTTATAATACATCTGCAAAATTAGATGATAGTAAAATAGGATTTAGGGCGATTCGCCTCTCTCTATTTTTGCAGCAAATGTATAAATACAAATAATTGCTAAACATTTCCACAATGCCGGTCACATCACCCTTTGTCGAGCCTCTAAGGGTAGAGGGTGGACATCCGCAGCCGATGACGAAGGGTGTCGTCTTATATATTATTGTGTGAAAAGCAACACAAATGTTTTTATACCATTTACGGCGTATGAATTATCTAATTTCCACAGTCGCCGCCTATACAATGTAGTAACCGAGTTTGAATCGTGTATTGACATCGGTGTGTTATTGTTGAATGTATGTACCGAGAGGGTGCGGTTTAGAGACAATCCATTTTGGTAGGGAGCCCCGAAAACCGTTTACACACTATTTCGTTCAGTATATAATTGAGTTATTGTGATATTATTATGGTAAACAAATATAAAATGAAGATGCGAAACGCCAATTCGGTGCACATAAAGTCCATCTAAGACGTTTTATTTACAACGTCTAATGCGTGCCTGGCTTTAGAAGCGATTTATATTATATAGTAGGTACTGTATATAAAGTTCAATTTCTGCAAGGTATTTATGTATTATGCACACCGACCGAAGAAAATGGATGAGCAATAATAGTGAAAAATATAGTTCTACCGGGTTTTCTATAGCATTACTGATATTAGGTAAATGTTTACCTTTTAGATTTTTTTTTAAAAGTTTTTTTCGAACATTGCATTATTTAAAATCTTATAAATTAAATTTTATTAAGTGAACTTCAACATTTTCTGTTATCTTAGTATAGTTCATAATGCAGACAACATAGTATTATAAATGATTGAGATTCATTACATACTATACATTTAGACATAATTTGTTTTTTTTAATAATATATAATCAATACTACTTAACAGATACATCGCTATGTTTAATATTTTATCAATTGTTCGTGAGTAATTCTCGATTAAATAAAATATATTTCTTAAAAATTAAATATTTTATCTCGTTCAAAGACAACACCATTTTGTCAAATAATTAAAATTTATCAGGCCCATTAACTTGAAACACGAGGTTATAGAGTCGAGCCCGCATAAAATACAAAGAATAATCTAATGTGGAATTAATGTGTAAATGTCGTTGGATAACTGATAAACCCGTTTATAAAATAATATACATAGCCATTGTTAAATAACTAACAAATGGCAGGTTTTACTCGTTTAGGCTATAGACGACTCATGTTTGTTTCGACAGTAATGATAAGTAAATCGATTATATCGTTAGCATCACATGCAGTCTTAATGTTGATTTTACTAAAATGATTTACATACATTCATAGTGACTAACCACCAAAACCTCAGGCCAACACTGAAAAGTATCTGGCAAGTTGAGGACATTAAAAAACAGTTTATACAAT